TATTCATATATTCCCGTGTCCTAGGCTTATAAATATTTGTTTGTTATAATGAATTTAACAGAAAATTGTGCTAAGCTCAATGCTTCCTCCAAATTTATTCACACTATTCCGTTGCGAGTTCGTCTTCTATCTTTCACTAAGTCTAACCTTTGAATTATTTATATCGTGAAGTGCTCTGAAATTTGAAATAGATTAATTATTCCCCGAAGGTTCACTTATTGTTGCAGAATAAAAATCTTTATGATTATATAATGGGTATATCAAGCGTCTAACGCGTCCGCTCCACCTCGACGCCGCAGGCTTCGCCAAATTTCTGGAAGATATTCATGAGGATATTTTATTCTCTTCGAACATTTTGGTCTGTCCGCCAGTCGACGGTATTTTTCCTTAACTTTCTAGATGAATATCTTGAAGAAGCCAAAAGTTCGTGAACCATCAGGCTCTGCCGCCGTTGGCAGGCTTGAGAGCAAACTTGTTTTCGTCATCATAACTTCGGGACAATGCAATTGTCCAAAATTTTAAACCTTGTCAGGCCATAAAAGTTCACTCACACTCCCTTAGAAGTTCTCGACCAGGCGTTTTTGGTGCGTGTCCAGAGGCTCAGGGAAAAGCCCAGCTTGTGGCAACACAAATGATATTTTTCTTGGCACCAACGCATTGTTTTCTCTGATTCCTTTTCTTCTTTGTCATGGAATTGTCTGTTTTGCTCCAATAACACCAGTGCTGCATGAGTAGTAAGTTACGATGATAAAATTCGTTCACTAAATAAATATGACTTTCCAAATTATTAATTTAAATCTCAGAATGAAACATTACTCCACCATGAATAACTACTAGTACCTGGCTTTCGTTCACTAAATAAACATTTTCTGTATTATTTATTTAAATCTCCGAAGAAATCGTTACTCCACCTTCAATAACTACCCGGCGTATTTCTTTAATATCAGAACAATTCTAAGATGATTAATAAGTTTTCTTTATAATACTTGTAATTAAAATCAATTGAAATGAACGAAACTCAAAACTCGGCATCTCAGAATCAGCCGCTCAGGTAAACTAATAGAATATTCTTCACAGTTATTTATTACATTATTAGACATCATAATAATGAGCAGACATCCACACTACAAAGCAAGCGCTCAATATTAAATAATTCACGTGGCATTCAATTTGCTCTAAAATGTTAATATTTTACTATGTAATAAGCATCGTTGAGGTCATGTTTGTTTCTCACTGTTCTAAACCCAGAGATGAGGGCTATTCTGGTCTTTTTCTGTATAAAATCTTGAACAAAGTTTCTATATACATTGAATGCAACGCGTCACTCAAGTATATAAGAATTGCTGGTATGTGTGAAGAACGAATGTCAATCGTTCCTTCCTTCATGTATTTCTTAACACATTTCCTCCTAACCCAATGGCTAGAAGTGTTTGAATATAAAAATTGCTAATCAATAACTTGATACTGTCACAATTCTTATTCGGATAGAAATTACTTAACATTTATTAATACATAGAAAATCTGGTATTGTATGTGATTTTTTACTTTTTCTATATAATGCGAGCGATTTAACGAAAAATTTCATTTATTTCCTTAGTAATAATCAGAGGTAAATATTCTCATTACCGTGGAAAATAGCGTCGTTGCATGTTTTCGAAAATACAACGGAATGCACAACAAAATGCAACTAGGAGATTTCAAGTTACGATTGGAATGGAATTAAATTGTACTATTGAGTACACTATTGACTCCAAGTACACTGTAAACTTCCACAATAACCTACAGGATTGACAGTTTAATTTTTACTTTCATCAGCGAAAACGTATAAAAGATATTCTGCCCAAAACAGGGTTGGTTATTCTGAGAATATCAAAGTAAATTCACTGCATGCAGAGGATTTTAGTGTTAATCTTGCATGCAAATATTGCGATTCTGACGTCATAAACCCATCGACAACTGCTGTGGCTGGTCTGATGGCTGGAGCTCGGCCACTGAGTTTACAGCTATAAGCCGAGGATGATTTTCAATAAGGTACATGCGAGGTACACGACCAAGGGGCGCGCTGTACGTGAGCCAGCGCCTCTTGAAGCCACGTGGCCTATGAACGCCAACAAATATATCCGTTAGTTCAAAATACACTGTATCAACAGCAACAATTACGTTATAATTTCACGAAAATCGTCAAGTATTGGAATTTTGATCTGGAATATAATGATAGAATATGATTTGTATTGAGTAGTGAAGAATATTTTAATAGAGCGTAATGATTGAATTTGATTTGTATTGAGAAGTGAAGCATATTTTAATAGAGCGTAATGATTGACGATGATTTGTATTGAGTAGTGAAGAATATTTTTAATAGAGCGTAATGATTGACGATGATTTGTATTGAGTAGTGAATCATATTTTAATAAAGCGTGATGATTGAGGATGAATTGTATTGAGTAGTGAAGAATATTTAAATACAGCGTGTTACACACCTGGAGCAGGACCGCTGTTGAGTAGCGTAGGCAGATGCTGAGGCTCGTCAACCAACACAGGTGCCTCACCTGGTCCGAATGCCAATTATCAAAATGGATCCTGTGAAAGGAAGCCGTGCACCTGAACACAGGCTAACGAGCTGTGAGCAAAATTTTTAGCTTAGTCATTTTCCATTTTATTTTAACCATTCATCTATAAAACACAGACATCCCCTCCGAGCTTCCGATAACGTGTAAACTTACGAGCGCCTGAGCGAGCATGCTTCGATATCACCATGCATGTTGATATCGTATATTTAGATATACGTGTTCACTAAAGTTATGTTCACAACAACTTAAGTTCACAGTCGTCCACGTGCCATAAGTTCAACTTAATTTTAATTCTATAAGCTGCATGCCAGAAAACCGCATCAACCTTTTCCATGCGCATTACTTTAAGAATGTGGTGCTATCTCAATTTATATCTCATTCAATACAAAATTGAAATGTTGCTTATTTACATTATTATGTAGGAACAACTTTACAATCTGTTTTAGTTTGGAATTACCATTCTGAATCAGAGTGCATTTTTTAGTTTCAATTTTTTCTGCAGTCCTCATTTCACTCTGATCTTCTGCGCCCTAGAATTTCAGCAAGATTTTCTAGGATCTGACTATCTAGCGTAGCATCTTTAAATTTCCTAGTTAAAGTGGCGCCTTGCGTCCTTGCTACCGACTTCACATCTGCGCTGGACTCGACCTTCCCGCCCTGGGGTGCCGGCAACAAATCTGCGACTGCAGGATTGCGCGCATCCTTCACGAGTCCAATTTGCAAAAGCCATCCCAGAGATCGGCAGGTCAGGGCCACAGCTAACCAGATCTTTCTTATTGCGGCATCCATCATCAGCGCCTGCTGCAGGCCCAATGGCTTCCACCATCTGCCGCCACAGATGGACCGACGAACCACATTCGGCAGGGACCACGAAAAAAGTCATCGTGCAATCCTAGGGAAGACAATGGGCACGCTTTATGGCCAAGATAATTTATTGGTCAATAAATGGGAAGCGCGGGGAATGGATGGACCGCACGCATGTAAGCTTCAAAACGAAGGCTGCACGCATGTAAGCTTCAAAACGAAGGCTGCACGCTTGTAAGCTTCAAAACGAAGGCTGCCTTCATGTAAACTTCAAAACGAAGGCTGCCATCTTGTAAACTTCAAAACGAAGGCTGCCTTCTTGTAAACTTCAAAACGAAGGCTACCTTCTTGTAAACTTTAAAACGAAGGCTGCCTTCTTGTAAACTTCCAAACGAAGGCTGCCTTCTTGTAAACTTCAAAACGAAGGCTGCCTTCTTGTAAACTTCAAAACGAAGGCTGCCTTCTTGTAAGCTTCAAAACGAAGGGTGCCTTCTTGTAAACTTCAAAACGAAGGCTACCTTCTTGTAAACTTTAAAACGATGGCTGCCTTCTTGTAAACTTTAAAACTAAGGCTGCCTTCTTGTAAACTTCAAAACGAAGGCTGCCTTTTTTAAACTTCAAAACGAAGGCTGCCTTCTTGTAAACTTCAAAACGAAGGGTGCACGCACGTGCAGCAGGATAACAACAGCAGCAGGATAACTAAGGATAACTATATAACGTGTAGCAGGATACGAAGGCTGCCTTCTTGTAAACTTCAAAACGAAGGCGCCTTCTTGTAAACTTCAAAACGAAGGGTGCACGCACGTAAGCTTCAAACAAAGGCTGCACGATTGTAAGCTTTAAAAATAAGTCTATTCGCTCTGAGCATCGATAAGCCGGCACACAAAAATACGCGGTTACTCCAGTCGTCATTTGCTCTGGCATTATTTGCGCGGTCCCGTGGGTGGGGCCGACTTAACTCGAACTCCCTCGAGTTGAAGTTTGCCTAATCCAATCATGGAGTTAGATTGGAAAAATATTGCTTCTGTAAATGTGGGTAAATGGTGATTGCGCTTTAATTATCGAGGGAATATCCAGCTCTCTTGGAAGGCAGCGCTCTGCCACCGCGGTTAGAAAAGAATCATTTGCCGCGTGATCGCTTGTCGTTAAAACCGTGTGATTGAATTGTTGGAGAACATGTAGGACGGTAAAAATATGTACATGTAGGACGGTAAAAATATGTACATGTAGGACGGTAGAAAAATTTGTGAGGTTATCAAGGATGCATCCACTGTCACATTTTCACAACTAACGTCAATTCAAATTCATCCAAATGATTTGAATATTCAGTAGGCAATTTCGGTCTTTGGCTGTTGAATCGAGCACATCTCATATTATATTCAATTTACAAACGCATGAAAAAGATTGGAAAAAGTAGTGTGGTTGAGAAGAATTTTTCCAGACTTCTATATATGCGCAACCGAGCAAAGAAGGAAGCCGTGTGATTGTTATATATATTTTGTGGCAGCTTGACAAAACTCAAGTGGATCACGCGAAACAATCCGACAACATCAAACGAGGCAATTCTATCTAAATAATTAATGCGACTGAAAACAAACAAAATGGACTATCTCACTACCTGCACCACTAATACCTGCATCGAGAACACCTACGTCACTTACCTACATCACTAATACATGCATCAAGACCACCTACATCAAGACCACCTACATCAAGACCACCAACATCAAGACCACCTACATCAAGACCACCTACATCAAGACCACCTACATCAAGACTACCTACACCAAGACTACCTACATCAAGGCCACCTGCATCAAGACCACCTACATCAAGACCACCTACATCAAGACTACCTACATCAAGGCCACTTGCATCAAGACTACCTACATCAAGACCACCTACACCAAGACTACCTACATCAAGACTACCTACATCAAGACTACCTACATCAAGGCCACCTACATCAAGACCACCTACATCAAGACCACCTACACCAAGACTACCTACATCAAGACTACCTACATCAAGACTACCTACATCAAGGCCACCTGCATCATGCAATCAACAGAGCGCCACTCACCTGAGCGTGACAACATTCCTCCTGGCCAGTCGCCGCGTGGCTGGGAGACGCAGCGTCAGGGAGTCTGTGTACAGAGTCTCCTCAGCGCCGTCAGCCGGCACGCTGCTTACGGCCTGTTCGCCCCCTCTGTTGCTGTGCACCTCTGTGTTGCTGGTCCCCCCTCTGTTGCTGGTCCCCTCTCTGTTGCTGGTCCCCCCTCTGTTGCTGGTCCGCCCTCTGTTGCTGTCACCTCCTCTGTTGCTGCTATTTACCGTTTGTTCACTGTCAGCCCTGCTGCTACTGCCTCTCCAGACGACCTCCACAACGGGTGGTTGCTCCTCTGTAAGCGCCTTCTCTATCTGGATGAAAAGACTGTTTCTTGATACGCAATATTCCAGGTTAGTTAAAATACGAGTAAATTAAATTCAAAATGCTCTACTTGCCAATCCTCTACTCTCATGGCATTTAAAATATGCGTGACTGAAAGCGAATGGTGAATTGTTTGTATTTATGCATGGGCTCTTCATGTCTCGTCTTGAATAAACTAAATCGCGGCTGTTAGTATGAAAATATACGTTGCACGTAAGAAAAACTTGCTACATAATGTGCGAACACGAGAAACAAATCGAAATAGAATAAATTAAATTTCGGAATATTCGCAGCATCGCTTTGCAATTTTTTGTAATGAAAGGCTAAATATCCTGCCTCTTCTGATCCTCAGTATAAAGGAAGTCCCTTTACGAGCGAACGATACCGGCGTATTTCCTTCCATTTCCAAAAATATTTATGGTGTAAAAAATTATTCGCACAATTTTATGAATTATCAAATAAAATAATTTTGATAAGAAACAACGAACTTAATTGAATATAGAAATATAAAAATTGTATAAACAATTTTAGTGATCAAACAAACTTTGATCAGTGCAAGTCAAATGCAATCTTGCGACGAGCCCGAGGCTGTACTGGAGCTACACGAAGTGTGCATTTGTATGCAATGCATAAATTTCGTAATAAACTTACAGGCAGCCTGCATCCGACATCACTGACAGGGCCAGAATATCTCTCGCCAGGACACCGAAGCTACATTCACCTGTCGGAAAGCGTGCCTCGCCCTCTCAGAGGGCGCGTGCTGCTGTGGCCCGACAGCCCTCGTTTGCAGGGCCAAGCGATGCTTCGGTAGACCAGGAAGCTCTTCTCGTGAGACGTGCGCGTTTACGAGTTCTTTAGCTGCGGAGAGGGAGCCGTGCTCGCGGACCACGCGTTCCGTTTGTTGTTTGTTGTGGTGTACTGTGTTGTGATGTACTTTGCTGTATGTGTTGTAATGTGGTGCAGTGGTGTGTTCGTTGGTGTTACGGAGTAAAGGGGAGGTGTATGAGTTGTGTACTTGTGTGGTTGTGTATGTGTGGTACATTTGTGTGGTAGTGTATGTGTTTTCAAGAGGTGGACCAGGAGTTGAAGAGTGAAAGTGTTTCTGAACATGCGGAGGTAAAGTAAGTTCTTGCAAGGTAGTTGCGTGTCTCAGGTTCGTTGCCTGTGACACAAGTTCGGATAACATAGGATAGTCGTAACTATTGTCCTTAGAATATAAACTGTTATCCTGATTAAAAAAAGGTGAAGCTGATGAGCCGCGCAGGTCTTTAACTTCCCTCCAGCCAAACAACTTCTTCTTCGAATAAAACGTTCGCTTATGGGTGAGTGTTGGCTGTTTGTTGGCCAATGAAATCGACTTGAGTGACCGGAACGAGAAAAATAGCGGATAGGACGAGCTCTCCCGCGAGTGAAGTAAATAATTTTGGGCCTTGCCGTGCACATCTGAAGAGATATTCTTTAAATCTTCCAAAACTTCACTGAATTTCCCATGATTCGTGGGGATTGCGCTTCGATTGAACTTCGTGGAGTAGGTGAAGGGTATGGGTGCGGTTGTTTTTCTCGCGGCCGCAGCGTCAGCGGCTTGGCCGTAAGCCGTGTGATCGCTGGCGCGCGTGTCTTTGCCTTTCAATATTTCACTCTGTGCCGGAATTTGCATGCGAATATTGGATCTGGGCAGGTCGTTCTTGCGAGCCTGCTCGAGGCCCAACGTGCCCTTGACTTTCTTATTTGTGACTGACTCAATTTTGCCGAGCCTCGGCTGAAGGCTTTGACGGTCGTCTAAGATATTACTTTGTTGCAGCTCCTCGTCCTCCTTAATGGACCAAGAAAGCTGGGCAGCTGGGAAGGATCTGTACGACGTACACGTTAGACTAATTACGTCGCCTTCATGGTACAGATCTTTGAGTCCTCTGATCACTGGAGGACCGTCCGGGGTGTCTGCACGCCAATAATGCATCACTCTTAAGTTGTTAACAGAATATTTGAAAATAAAATTCATTCACTGATTGAGAAATTCGCTACATTCATGATACCTTATTGCGATCCTGAGCGATTTTGTGTGATGATTAATTAAAATTAAATAAATACTTCCCTAGTAATAACTAATACATTAGTCCATTATATTGGTAAAGAAGAGAAATGAATAAACGATAGTAGAAAAGCAATAACTCACTGATGATGGAGAGGTTAGCAGAGGCGAAGGTGGTGGTGAAGGTAGGGCCTTCCCCCACCAGCTCACATCTGTACTGCCCGCCTGTGGCTGCCGTCACCCCTACCAGCTCCACACGGCCTTCTCTGGAGGCATCTATCTGCAATAGAAATCGACGGAATGCCTTTATTTATTTGTATAAATTCACTGATATAGTAAATATATATGATTATTAGATTATAATAGAAATAGATTATTACTAAAGAGCATGACAATCGCGCATCGCATGTTCGCTTTTAGTTCTTTTCAACATCAGAGTGCTCGAGCTGTCACTGGGATGTGCGGGACAGATTTCGCGTTCCAGAATTGTCTGCCTTGCCAATGGAGGTTCGGAGACCGAGTGAAAGTTTCCCGCAGCGGTCGGAATGTCAATGGAAGCTCTCGGCCATTCGAGTCTCTTTACTCGTCGAAGAAACTGCTTCCTCAGGACCTTTGTGCAGTGAATTCACGTCACATTCTGGACAAACTAATGCAATTAGTGCGGCCCATTTTACCCCATGATTTAAAATTGGCTTCCAATTTCTGTTATTTTAGAAAACAAGCTAAAAATTGGGAGCGACGTCTCGGTCGAGAGAGTTTACGACAGATCGATTTCTGTGTGGAAAAAACATGGGCTCTGGTGCAGCTTTTCGCCTAAAACGTTGGTTTTTCTGGTATCAAATAGATATGTTGTATAAAACTTCTGTTTCTTATCCGTCGTTTTGACCTGTCTTCGTCTCGTAAAATATTTCAGTTTCAAGACTAATAGCATTAATTCCACTGTGATTTTAATTTTGCCTAATTTTTTAGGCCAAAAAAAAATTTCTTCCTTCCTCTTGTACGGCTCAATTTATAGAAGTTCGATGAACTTCCATGTAAAATAGGGGAAAACTGTGGTATACAATATTAAAAGATTGGCTTCAACCAAATTCGCAAGAATGTAACAATTGGATACAATTGTAACAATTCTTGCTACATGAGTGAAGAAATACCAAGCTTTGTGCAGTGCTCGACACTTTCGAATTCCCTAGATGATTTTTTTCCGTTTTACTGTCGAAATTTCGAATTCTGGTGTGAAACAAACTTTCAACGTAGATACCTGGCAATAACTTATCAAAAGTTTGATTTCACTATAAACTTTGCCCACAACTCGAAGGGCAGTTTGTAAAAACCTTGTAAGTATTCCTCGGAGGCCTGGCCTCCTTGGCCACTTTCTTCGATACCGCAAAGCAGATAAAATATTTTTTGACAGGCCTTCGCTCTCAGCAAGTTTTTTTACATATCTTAGCCCGAGTTCCAAGAAAATCTCCATTCGTGAGTTACATCGTAGTACAAAAGAATGCTTCAAATTAGCCTTATGCATTGATACAAATCTTTACAATGCTCAAAATTTTCGCTAGTTAGTAGGAATCTGCCATATACCTTGAAAATCCAATGCTGCAGCTCAGGTCGAGCGAAAACACTAAAAAATATAACTCAGTACTCACTGTAGAGAGTGACAGAGAGCGCATTTTCTCGTCGACGAAAACGTGAAGTCACGGACGGACGGACAGACATGGCGAGCACAATAGTGCACTTTTTGCAAATATACGAGAAAATGCGCTAAAAACTAAACATTATTGTAAGTTTCTGTAAGGTTGGCACTAAAATCGAGGACAACTGCGACAGCTGCGTTAACATTTCTCATTTCATTGATAGTTAATGAATAACATCGCAGTGATTGTTCCTTCAGATGTGACATATCCAAAAGGTAAGTGATGAAGCTGCTTCAAGTGATTTTAACAATTTGACTGGAGACCAGTCTCAACTCTTCTTAAACGACGCTCTGCATTATACATTCGTTAAAATTAAATTCTCAGTTATCGACCGTGAGACAAAATGAATAGTGGGGATGGTTATACATGCATCCATGCCAGTGAATCGTCTTCACTGAGGGCCGAAAGGTTGAAACGAAAGAGCAGTTGTTTGTTAAACTCACAGCGATATTTTCTTACTGTTTTCATGAACGCCAGAATTCACTAGTATATTGTGAGATGTTTCTGGCATAAGCGAAGTATTTAGCTAACTAAACGAACTAGAGATTGGATTGATCCTCAGCAGATTATATTGAAATTCGCTGGAGATTACACCCATTGAGATTGCATTTGAAAATTCTCTTCATTTGCTAATAGTTGCTAAACAGTGCGCGGAATTACAGCATGAATAGTCTGCAAGTTTGTGCTCAAAGAAAAAGCTCTCACGTTAGCACCGATCTAAAACTGCTACGATTGATATAGGAGCTGTCCGGTGTGCAATTTACTTAAACCAATTCGCCACTTCAGCAGAAATAACTCAATCTCGCAAAATGCCTTTTCATTTAAACATGAGTCATCATTTCTAGAAAAACTATTATGGTCTGGAATCAAACTTGTTTAATGTCACTATGGATCTTTAATATCATCAGGAATATCCGTTGCTATGCTCAAAGTAAATGCAATGTAATATTCTAGAAAACATTTTACTATCTTCATGAGAAATAGGCATTTATATTCTATCCTGTGACTGCCGCTTGAAGAACACGTCGCTCATGCTCAAAATCAAACCATAGAGCAATAGTCTGGCCCCCAAGGAAGAGCTTTACTGCCGGCAAACTTGCGCAGTTAAGGCCGACAAAAAAGCAAATTGGCACAGGCCTCCTAAGCCGACTGCTCCGTGCACCCCTTACCTGCGATGGCCGGGCAACTGCTCGCTTTCTATAATGGATGAGCTCCACTCCTGAGCTCTTAATGGATATATGATGTACTGAGCTCCACTCCTGAGCTCCTAATGAATCTATGATGTCCTGAGCTCCACTCCTAAGCTCCTAATGGATCTATGATATACTGAGCTCCACTCCTGAGCTCCTAATAAATCTATGATGTACTGAGCTCCACTCCTGAGCTCCTAATGAATCTATGATGTACTGAGCTCCACTCCTGAGCTCCTAATGAATCTATGATGTACTGAGCTCCACTCCTGAGCTCCTAATGAATCTATGATGTCCTGAGCTCCACTCCTGAGCTCCTAATGGATCTCTGATGTCCTGAGCTCCACTCCTGAGCTCCTAATGAATCTATGATGTACTGAGCTCCACTCCTGAGCTCCTAATGAATCTATGATGTCCTGAGCTCCACTCCTGAGCTCCTAATGGATCTCTGATGTCCTGAGCTCCACTCCTGAGTTCCTAATGGATCTATGATGTCCTGAGCTCCACTCCTGAGTTCCTAATGGATCTATGATGTCCTGAGCTCCACTCCTGAGCTCCTATAGGTTAGTAGATGAGTGAACCATTCATGATTTTCCAATAGATTACCGTTTAGAGTTTACCAAAAGGAGAGTGACGAAGGCTAAAGTTAGTTGATTACTCTACCGTGTAATACCGGAGGAGAGAAGGGCCTCAAACCCAAATATCTAAGCTTAATCTACATGACTTGAACTAAAGCTTTGAAGTACTCAAAGAAAAAAGGAATGAATTAATGTCTAAAAGTTCACAAGTGTTCTTTCATTCTTATAGTTTAAAATTTTCGGAATATTTCATTTTTTTTATTTGTAGACAGTAGTGCATTTCAGTTTTTTGGTTACGATTTATTTTTAACCATAGACCTATGCAGGCCCTTGGACAAGTTGTAGTGTTCCTTCAAGCACCAACCCCTATATGGCTATCTTATATTTTGAAATAGGATTTTAATTTCTATGCCCTTGAAATGGGATCTGAGTGGCCGTACTTTTGATATTTAATCCCTGTGATCATACTCTTGAAATATGACCTCTATTATTATATTATTGAAATAAGGTCATACTCATAACCCTATTAGTACATACACATGAGTACGGCCTTGGTGGCAATACACTGAGTATAGGATTGAAATTTGCATGCTCGTGAAATTGGATCTCAATGGTCACACCATTGATATATTTTTCCATTGCTCACGCCATTGCAATAGGAATTGCATTGCCTCGCAGTGCGTTGAAAAGAGACGCTGTGCCGCAGGGCCGCTTTGAGGTTTTTCTTGGGGTTTCGTTTGAAGGAACACCGCGCCGTTCCTTCGCTCTGGACGACTTCAAAACGAACCCACGTCGAGGTTCTGAATCTCGTCATGAATATTCGGGTCTTGTGATGGATATTTCAAAAAATGACTATGAACTCTAGCATGTGTGAATGAACACCACGACAGATGTCTAGTCCAACATCTTGTACTTGTGCAATACCATTGATCTATTTCGAAGAATTTGTTGAATCTTTCAATCTATCGATTCGATTAGATTTTCTCCCATTATTTCCATCAAAAAAGAAGCATCAATTCCAATATTAACCCATATTAACATTCAAGCGATTCAAGACCCCGAACTTTTAAATTGCGTGCACTGATATTTCTAGCGTCATGTTTCAGATACTTATGTGCACTGAATTGCTACAAAGCAAATACCACAAACCCATCTAGATTGGAATTGGAACAGATGAACCGAATCGCTTGTGGAATGAATGATGACATTTAAATAACTTATCTGACATTCATCAATGCGCAAGACCCTCCTCGTGACAGGGACTTTTCAGTCAAGCATCTAAAGTCTCAGATATAATAAAGCAAACTAATGCTCGAACATCATCCACATCCAACGTAGTCTCCTTGTCCCTCGAATATAGGAGCTTGTAAGCATAATGCAGAAAGCCGTGTTCGATTTAGTCACAGTCCGGACCCTTTGATGGAATTCTCCCAGCTCCTGAGCTCCTTTCTGCACCCGAAATCTACTGGAATTAATGTTTGAAAGTTGACGTCCGGGTCGACGGTTCTCCGATGAACCACTTTCTCGGTTCCAGTGGTTATAGAAATTCGTTGGTAATCCCTTACACTGACTCATTTCTTACTCAGTTTGGTATAATTGACTAAACTGTTATGGCTGGCATCGTGTCCGCTACTTGACTCACTTAGCAGTCATGCTTGATTCGAAATCATTAATTATGAATAAACCTTTCATTCAATGCTTTTAAGTCAATAATGGTTGAGGGATGTCGACCGGCTAAATGATTTTCACAGAATCCACCCCAGTCCTCATTACAATGTTTTTATGCCGTTAATGGTTGAAGGATGTCGATTAGCTAAACAACTTTCACACCATCCAGCCTCACCCTCTAAAATAGAGTAATTGAACCCAAGCACACGCATCATCTCCAGCGTGGAGCAACTCTCGGAGGTAATCCATTTTTGCGACCGCTGTTTCTCCAGCGCCCTCGTCATAAATGGACGACGTTAAGCTAAGCCCCTGCGTAAGCTGATTGCCTGGTATGCGTGATGAAAAAAACGCAAGTTTTGTCCCAGCGACGCACGCCAGATTTGTGGCCCCTATGGGACGTACAGTCCTGCTTAGCTGCAACGAAACTCGTCTGTTTTATTACACGCTTTGAGGGGAATTGTTAAGGAGAATGCCATTCATATTAATGCTTAATTAGTGACAATGGATACTTAAATTAATTAATATTGCTTTGACACTCGCGGGGGTTTTGAAAATTACAAAAAAAGTTGATCGGTGTTAAAAAGATTGCTCTAAATTAATACAAATTGAGCTTCCACATACATAATGTATCAAAAATTTTGTTTTTGTGTACGTTGACACTGATTCCATTTGTCTAGACTAAATAACCAAGAATATCATATCATCGGGAAAACTCACTTGAGCGAAGCTTCAGTACAATAAATTGTATCCCGTATATCCCGAGCCGGATTCATATCATTGAAATAAATTGCATCGAAGTTTTTGCGCAGCATTGAAATGAATACTGATAAAATGCTAAAATATTAGTTAGTCAGCTTGATTACTCGTTTGTACAAACTCGAAATTTACGCCGACTATTTTTTTTTTTTCGCGCGAGATCATATCGCGTTGCTCGCATCGCTACTAATGTTATTTTATTTTGTAACGCGACGCTGAGGCGGCGTGGCAGTAATGCTTCAGTAATATGATATACATTTCATCTGCAGGTGTCATTACACCTAATGACCAAACAGTCGTACAAAATACAAGGGAATTGCTGAACTGGACGCAGTTTCAGAACTTTCATTATGATTCATCTCAATATCACTTCAAATCAGGCAGTGGATCATATAAGCTTTTATGATTACTGAGGAACTTTGTGACGTATTTTTTATGGTTTGCAGAAAATCTGGTATCATATTACTAATAAATTTGATTTAATGCTCAAAATCTTTGCTTGTGCCAGAGTACTTGTGTCGACGGCAACACAAAACACATCTAGGATTTTTTTTAATTAAAGAAAAATTTTAAAGTCTACGTAAATGTAATCAAAATAATACGTTTATACTCATAACCCTTCAAGTCAGGGCTTGACTCAACCATCTGGGCAGGGTGGCCCAGTAGTTGAAGTTCAGAGTACCAAGATTGGCGCAGAGAGTTGCGGGTTCGATCCCAGCTCTGTGCGCCAGTTTCTGGTCAGAATCGGCAAGGAGGCCGGGCGGTTAAGCAAAGAAAATTTTAAGCAGTGAGTAGCGAGTTCAAGCCCGCAACAAGCTGTGGATGTCCTGCAATGTTAAGAATCGGCGACAGGCCTACGGCCTACTAAACGCTGAAACCGCTAAATCTCACCCTAACGTAAGTTTGAGTCTGATATTAAGTGAAAGAATAATAAATGTCACACTCACATTGACGGTGACCCCAGGCACATTGAAGACGACGACCCTAGGGCTATTGCTGGGGATGTAGGAGTAGAACTGGCGACCGTCCTTCCACCAAGTGAGGGAGTATAGCACCTCGTCCTGCAGGCGGAAGTGACACGCCAGCGTAGCGCTCTCCCCCAGCAGCAGGTAGCGGGGCACCTCTACTGACGACACCTCCATCCCTGGGGGGTGGCATGCATTTCAGATAACATTACAAAATCCTCTTGAATATTTATATTAGTTTTTTGAATAAATAAGGTATTCAGTGAGTGGAAACATTACAGAATCCTCTTGAATATTAATATTATTTTTTTAATAAAATGAAGCATTTATTAAATTGAAAACATTACAAAATTCTCTTGAATATTAATATTAATTTTTTGAATAAAATGAAATATTCAGTGAGGCGAAAACATTGCAAAATCCTCTTGAATATTTCAATTAATTCTTTGAGTAAAATGAAGCATTCAGTGAGTGGAAGTGATTGGTGACAATCTATTAGTCTGACCAGTTGTACAGAGATGCTAAGTGTAAGTTCCCTATCAATTTAAGTGAACTAAAGAGTGCCATGGAAGAGATATCATTGATAGTGAGCTTACAGAAACGATTGCAGCAACTGATGCAATTATTTGATGTTTTTTATAGCGACGAAATCTATATGAATCTTTATCAACGTTAATGAAAAATATTCAGAGATTTTAATTACGGTACGGAAAACAACGCGAGAATCTTTAATTCCGCAAAAACCTCCATTAATTAAATGATTCGGGGTAATTGCCTAATTACCTCTTTCAGGTTCAGGACAAATTATGCTGCTGTAAACATATTTATAATTAACGCTAAACATATTTATTGTCATTTCATTAAGCAAGCTTGTCTGATTTAAGTTATACTAAGATTTATTGCTAGACTTATCGGTATCTGCAACCTTCGCTGACCTAGATGCAAAATAATTTCAACCTGTGGCATTAGGTCCATAACTGTGACTGGCTTGTGGCCTGTGTTAGCGAACATCTGTTTCTGTTAATTGGAATTAAATTTTCTCTGTTCAGTTACCAACTTTCATTAGCCATGCCCTTGTGTTAATTAAATAGACAAGAAACATGAAGACCGTCGCATAGGATGGTTAAGTATCCAAAATATAGGCTAAATGACTGGATTTAGCGGAGAGTGACACCTTCTGACGCTCATTTAAGAACACCCACAACTTTATTTCAAAGCTTTAAACCTATATTAGTAAGCCATTTTCGTACTACACTATAGATTTATAACTAAACATTGTAACATGCTACACTCGAATGCCAATGTCGATAGCTATCTCTTCCTTGCATTGATCAGACAAACGAGTTGTTTTATGAATAAGGTATATGTATTCTTATTAAATTATAAACCATCGCTCGACTGCCCTGTTACTGAAACTCGTTCAACAGATGAACCGCAATTACTACCTGAATTATTCTATTTAACGAGCAATCGAGATGAAGCCACTTACTGGCATGCTACCTTACTTAAGTGTGGGTATGCATATTTTACAGGGCAAATGAACATGGCGTGCCGAAGTCGCGTAGCTAAGACACAAAAAGCTCTACGCTTCACGAAGTGAATACATAATATTACAAAGATCATTTCATCTGTTATCAAACATTTGTAATGCGCATCATTCATCAGATATAAATCTTATAAAAATAAAAGCGAAAAATGTACGGCAGCTTGCTCTTAAATAAGGCAGCAATGCTGACTCGATGTCATAAATAATTTACCTTGCACGGCTGTGAGGCTCCCAACGGCCTGCAGTAGCAGCAGCACGGCAGCGCCACAGAGCTGAGCTGATGACTTCATTCTGGAACATAACAAACAGTTCATTAATGTGGCTATTATTATTATTATTATTATTATTATTATTATTATTATTATTATTAATATTTCTTATTGATTATATCAGAGCATGAGATGTATTGCAAGATAATATTTAACGAACAGATTTCAAGAACTGGTTTGCGCCATGGTTGAGATCCCCAGCTACAGAGTAGCTCTTGTAAATGGTTCCCATCTTCAGCAGAACATGAAGGAACTTTCAAAAACTGAAAGTAGTTCGTTAACCGCAGTCTTAGAGCGACATACTTTTGTAGCAGGACGTACCTTTTAATTTATAAGTAACAAAATGAATGTACGAGAGACATGCGACGAATGCATTTATGCGGTTCATTATTTTAAATTGTTGATGTCCATTGAAATATCTCGATCTCCTTGCAGGTCGTATTTTATGCAACACTGTATAGATAATTTTATTGATGGCATATGATGAGTTATAAAGTATTCGGTTCCCACCATAAAAGCAAAAATTTGATACGCTAACTTGCCTCTTCGTTGCTTTAGGGAGCATCTCGAAACGTAATCCTGTGGTCGAAAACAGACTGGAAGTTTGAGGGAGCAGTGCCCCTCGTTTGCTAAGCGCGCCCTTGGCGTAACAAGCACCAAGTTTTGCCTAGCCAAACAATGAAGATCGCATACGAGGCTCTGAACTTAGCGAATTACCGAGGGTGCAGCAAAGTCCTCGGCACCCGCCGCCAGCGTTATGCAAACTCGCCCGGCAAGACGAGCCCAGAGAGGCGCGGGCAGAGAAGCGAGCGGCTCAGATATATACACGAGAAGTTTTACGTATCATGATTTATTTTAGGCACCGTGATACGAAATATTCTGCAAGTTCAGGACAGGTATCAGCATTCTGTAATTTTGGGTATGGCTCAAGAAGGTAAATCTTCGCTGATGATCTTTATGGCTATTGCGGAAAAATTATTCCACCTGAAGACCAGTTTGGGTTTATGGTTTATCGCTTTCAATTATTGCAAGCGTAATGAAGAGGAGCGTAACAGAAGAAGTTCTTTTGTTACAGCTGGTCAATGTCATTTTTACGAGACTTCTAACAAATGGTTATTCACCTCTCAAGAATACGGAACCATACATTATAGGTTACACCAATTTACGGTCTAGTATCACGGATCGTGTCATCGCATTAAAAAGCAGCACTTCTCAACACTTGCGCTCACGTAATCTCCGAGCAGATGCAGTGTTGGCGCTGAATCCCTAACAATAATAGTCCAGCTTCTAAATTTCTTGTTACCTTCATTTTTTCTACTCAAGACCGCTCTTGCATGGGGTTGAAATGGAACGATTCGTAAGCTTCATGTGTGATTAAATAGCGCATAACACGTAACTTGAGTGCATGCGAGCTGGGGAAAGTGGGACTCGTGAAGCAGCGCCTCAAGGATCTTCTGGGTACCTCGATATTACAACGCACAATAATCAGTGAGAAACTCTACAATTTATTGCTTCCATGCATGCACAGTATACATCTGTGCAGTGTGCAGCATCCAGCTGAGTACGTAGAGCATTCGGTATCTGCAAACGAGCATTGCGTGTCGTCGATCCGCTCTTCTCGCCGTACAATGCCATATTGGGCAAAAACGCGGCCAAAAAGAACGTTCTCTCCGGAGGGCAAAAAAAAAGCACTGCTTACATAGAGCCTGTCTCAGTTGAGCATACTATTAATGCAATGCTTATATTCTTATCAAGGCTACAGATTTATCAGAGAGAGGACTCGAATGCAATGGATGTATAAATGAGAATGCATGTCATTAAGTAAGTGCACTGTTTTTCTGCTTCAGTGCTTGACATTCAATTTTTAGCCCCGAAAATCAGATTAAAATTTTGAAACACAGACTGATATCATGGAAATTTGCTGCTGAAACCTTCAGTCTACATGCAACTTATACGACAACATACTGTGGTGTCTTAGATGAGAAATGTCTGTCTAACGTTAAATAATACAGAAGCTACGTGGGAAACAAGTTACACGCAAAAATTACGTGAAAAATAAGTTACAAGGACAGGCAGACTCGCGCCAACGAGCGCAGTGTTTCCGTTAGAGGGTAAATCCTTAATTTAATCCCCTTGATGACATTTTAAAAGTATTCAACGAATCAGGTTCAGGTTTCCTATCAAACGAAAGCACATTTTTTATTAAAAACGGGTGTGCATGTATTAACAGGTACATGCCTATTCGAGATCATAAATTTTTCACATTATCACATATTCATAGATACGCCAACCGAATCAAATTTCCTTTGACCTGTAAGTTCTAACCAAATTACAAATTATTGGCTTGTTTTTAATCCATTTTAATTTTACTAATCCAGCACTTTTAATAATCCAGCACTTTTAATACTTTTTTCCAGTACTTTTCCAGCCACCCTAAGCAGGGTGGTCCAGTGGTTACAGTTCAGAGTACCAAGATTGGAGCAGAGAGGCGCGGGTTCGATCCCAGCTCTGTGCGCCAGTTTCTGGTCAGAATCGGCAAGGAGGCCGGGCGGTTAAGCAAAGAAAATGTGAAGCAGTGAGTTGTGAGTTCAAGCCTACAGCATGCTGTGAATGTTCTGCAATGTTAAGAATCGTCGACAGGCCTAAGGCCTAATAAACGCTTAAACCGTTATATATATAATCCACGACGAATTCTTCAAGGATATCCCATCAGCCGCTGTTGTCGGAGAGCTGTAGAGAGTCGTTTAGTCGCAAATGTGCAGGCAAATGTGCATCTTTTATTGCAGGTGTAACTCATATTGTGAGCGTGTAACTCATATCGTGAGCGTTTAACTCATATCGTGAGCGTGTAACTCATATCGTGAGCGTGTAACTCATATCGTGAGCATGTAACTCATATCGTGAGCGTGTAACTCATATTGTGAGCATGTAACTCATGTCATGAGCGTGTAACTCATGTCACGAGCGTGTAACTCATATTGTGAGCATGTAACTCATGTCACGAGCGTGTAACTCATGTCACGAGCGTGTAACTCATATTGTGAGCGTGTAAATCATATCGTGAGCGTTTTCATTATTAATGTAGGCATGCAAACATAACCGGTTCTCATGGGTTCGGGTACTTGTGCTATTATTGATTTAAAGAATTATTGGATTTAAATGAATAAAGAATATTGCACACATAAGTCAATTTAGTTCATACAATATCAATATAATATAACATCAATATATATAACATCTACATAATATCGGGTCAATAGAAACAATATTCCCAGAATTATATCATAGCTTTAGATAATACTATAAATAACTATTTACGGCGGTAGATACCCATAACTCCTTGGCTTGGAGCTTATTACAGACTATGGTCTTGCCCTTAACTATGCCACGCGCCGATTCTTTGATCTAAATTTTATTTACGATCTGTGCTACCAAATTCTCCTTACCGTGCGCTACATCCTGTCGAGTAAACCCTTTACCTTTGTCTAGGTTTAATGCGACTAAGTCCTGTAACACGCCAGTTCAGCGGTCCAGACTCGCTATTTCGACTGATCGATCTGGTCAAACTATCATTCACTGCTTCTATGTACTTCCCATTCCTATAATATTCCAAATCATTGTTTATGATATAAAAAAAGTCATCAAGTTAAGTTTATCTCGCGAGTGGTTGGGAGCAATCGGTTACCTATAAAGATTAAATTACTGGTTGAACAATTGATCGCTCTAACCTCTAAGTTACATTCATCAAAGTTTATTTTGCTATCCAGAAATTGGAGTAAAGCTATTAGAGTGCTCATGCACTCATTAGCCAAATATATAGGTTAAAAAGAGACAAAGACTCTTTGGTAAAGTTCTAGCTCAACGCTTAATGGATTTCCGTCCGACGAATGAACGGAGCTCGCCTCCTCCTTGATGTCGGACAACAGTGTGATGAACTTCAAACAGTCCATCTCACTCTGACCATCTGTGATGAACTTCAAACAGTCCATCTCACTCTGAACATCTGTGATGAACTTCAAATAGTCCATCTCACTCTGACCATCTGTGATGAACTTCAAATAGTCCATCTCACTCTGACCATCTGTAATGAACTTCAAACAGTCCATCTCACTCTGAACAACGCGTCTGATATATAATGCAACTCGTGACGCAACATAAATCACGCGAAACATTAAATGTCTAAAATTTTTATTGATTTTCACACGTCATTGCGCAATGGTAGTTGTGATACGCACTTATCGGAAGTTATTTGCGCATAAAATGAGCAGTGTTTGTAAAAAACGGTTCGTTTTAAAATGAAACTAAATTGTTTATTGTATTAAGAGGTATACCTGTTGTAAATGCTGACATGTCGTGTGAAATCTCCATTATTAGGGTAAGGTTTAAATTAACTTAATCACCGTTGTCTCCCCAACTCTGTTAAAGAAATCACAAAGAACGTCGATGCCAGTTTTCTCGGAGGTTAACATGAATGAAATTCAGCTTTATGATAATCCACTGGTTTTGGTTGTCAATGAGCAAGCGAGTCAACTTTTATGTACAAGCGTTAATCTTGAAGCATAATGTGAGGCGACTTAATTCTTCACGGCCTTAAGAAGCCCTTTGTACGAAGTGCATCACTGCCGGGCTGGTGTACGTATAATATAATTCACGCTCGATGTAATTGTCGATGAATTTAACAGGCTGCGTGAAAACATTATCAAACTCCGAACTAAACGCGAAAATGGCCCTCGCAAAAACTCGGGAGTTGTCCGAGAGGCCGTTGTGGTCTATACATTTTGCTTCAAAGAAGGTTGTAGACTTCTTCATCTTATGGACTACTTCGGACACTTTGGTTCAACAACCAAGACACCGAGACGCTGTCTCATTAGCTACCTCCAACCCGGAGGGCAAGGGAACCACACGCGACAATCTCACAACCAGACCGTCACTCGCTTTGTGCTGAAGGAACCCACCAGCATTGTCATCAAGCAGTGGCCTGACATCAATCGACCTAAGATGGCTAACCTCATCGTCTCTACGAATTTGACGCCTGCTACCTCTTTCTTAACTACCGGATTTGGCTGAACTTTGAAATGATTTTCAGAGTGATTTTTTTATTTAAAAATTTACTATAGTATCCTATTTACATATATTATGTACTTATTTCCACCAGAATTTCAATATTTAATGCCCTTTGTAACTTGAAAATGAATGTTTGTTACATTCGAAACGTCGTTAATAAACTAAAACTACTTCTTGATATATGCCTTTCGATCTACCAACGTCATCTGAAGAATTGTCCGACTCTTTGATAATTTAAATCAATTTATTCTCTGGTCGTTAATCGCACGCGTATAATATAATATGTACGTGTTGTAGTTGAATAAAAGTCAGGCTAGATCAGTCGTCATTAAAATGTGCGTGATATCAACAAATTAGGAAATTACAAACAAGTTAACTAATTCTACTAGAATACCAAAGATAGGGTTAGTAGCATTATGAGGAAAATGAGCTCATGGAAGAAGTCTGTCTTCCTACGTACCCATTTCCTCCTCACTTCCCTCAGTCGTCCACCAAATCAAGTCTTCAAGGAAAGGTTGCACAATGTAATTTCTCTAGTTGAGACACAAGTTCAAGCACTCACTGATAATACATTTCCTGCTCAGCCTTCGTGTAATCTTCATTGGAGATTGACCTCCTAATCTTGTTGGCTCGGCTCGCTCTGCCAGTCCTCCCAGCAAGGAAAAAACAGCATCCCGCCTCCTCTAGGGTTCCAAGGAGTCAAAAAGGTCGGGCGCTATGAATGCAACGTAGCATTCACAATTTGTGTTCGCAAAAGCACGCCACAAATGTGTAAAATTAAAGGATACGTGAACCCATTATTTTTAACGCATTTTATCACTTATGAAAAAAATGCCCTATTGTGCTCATGTCCGTCCGTCCGCCCGTCTGTCTGTCGGTGACTTCACGTTTTCGTCGATTTTGAGAAAATGTGCTCACTGTCACTCACTGCAGTGAGTACTGAGTTATATTTTTTTGATCATTCATGGTGTTATTGTTGTCAGGCAAGTCTAATAAACGTGATCCTTTAACGGATGTTTACTACTCATCACCTCTATTGAACACATCGGTTAGAACAGATTTAACCTAACCATGTGCTCCCTTAGATAAACATCAGAGTGAGTGATGAGCTCATTTAGATCCGAGTAGTCTTTGTTTAATTGGACGCAACATTATGTGATGATTTGTCTACTACTGTATTTCATGATCAACTCAAGAACTGTTTCAGAGACTGAGCTAATATTATTTTATTTACGTCTGTTCGTTTGAGAGATGGCAAAATATTTAATATACAATTCATGGCCAAAATAACTTCTTTCCATTCGAATGTTGGCACTGATTATCTACTGAGCGAAGTAACTTAAGTTTCACTAAATAAGGAATTACAGTATTTTGTTCTTTTTGAATTATTCGAGTATGAATTTTTTGAGGCCGAATTATGTTCGAGAAGCAACTTAGATTAGATTTATTTCTACGAGACCATCAGTGTCCATGAATAGTGAATCAAATTAAGATTTGTGGTTTTCTTCCCCATCGTCAGTCACGCGGAACTACGATTAAACAGATTCTGCATGGCTACCAAGCCAATATTCGCTTCCGTGATATTTCCACGAAGTTTATTTCTTCACGGTAATTATTAGAGTCAACCACACCCTACACTCTACGTAGCCTTCTTATCGCAATGCGCCATCACTAGTTATTCATTCCACTTTCGTATTCCTCTTCAGAGTATCGTTTTTTTACTGCACTTGAATGGCCCTTTCGATTACTGCCGGAAATGCTATAAATTGACAAGTAATTTCAGATTTAAATGAATGATGCTAATTTATAACATTTTGTCAGATTGTAGAGTGAGATTCAATGCTTTGTAGACAAACCTCAACTCTCACTAATAGCATCCGCCTCCGGATTGAGCAGCAACTGGGCAGGGGGTTAAAATATAAGCATTTGAGCATCATGACTGATGCGCTACACGCATGGCTGTTAAACGCGTGCCGTGCCTCCTCATGCATTGTATTATTCCTGAGGCGCTAAATACAAGACCTCGGCTGGCGAAGGCTTCTTTGGCGGCAGATACGGCGATAAATGCCGGCGCAGGGCCGGCCTGACGAGCCTATAAGCTTACGATGGCCGCAATAAAATCAATCTTGCTGCCTTCTCGCTGCTCGCAGAGCCTTTGGACGCCTCGCGATATTCAGCGTAAATGCGCGTCCGCCACTTACGATGCACCCAAATTATTACGCGCACGAACGTTCATGCACGTATAGAAATAACTGAGTAATGCATTGCTTCTTGGTGCCTGCTTGCTAGACATCAGACATCCTGTGTGTTTTGGTGTCGTGGCGGGAAACTTGGTGAGGCTAGGTGGATACTAGCCGATATTTCACTTAATAGTACAAATGTATACATTTTTATACATTGAATGTAAAAATGTATAAACTCGCAGCAGCATTACATTAGGCATACTTAGGAAACTCTTTTCGTGTTTCAAGACATTCTTGTTCAAAAATGCATGTTCAATTCATTTTTTATCAGAGTGATGCCACATTTTGTTGGTGAAGAGATATTTTTTATAAACGGAAATGGCACTATAAACCTAATAGCAGAAACAACGGTCGCTGCCATAAATATGGGGGATTCATGCAACCAATCAAACCACTTAACAGAACTTATTAAGCAATGACTGATCTTATGATACCAGCAATGCTATCACCTTGACAACTGTTGAAAATATATCTGCTAATGAAGAAGGTTTGTATCCACTGGTAGTGAATGCACCTATTGTTGAAGAGCGCCTCCACTAATGATGTTGTAATGGAGAATGCATGCATGGAAGCTGTGCCATCTAAGGAAAGGATTATGGAAGTCCGTGGTCGATAACAGGCATCTGAAAATAGCGCTCGAGGCAATATATTGACGAGCTACATGGAAGTGCTGAGGCAGGACACACTTGATATAGGCAATGTTTTAATGACCTACATGAAGGTTTTGATGCAGGACATGCTCGATGTTGGTAATGTTTTAAGGACCTACATGGAGGTGCTGAGGCAGGACACACTCGATGTAGGCAATGCTTTAATGACCTACATGAAGGTATTAAGGCAGGACACGTTCGATGTAGGCAATATTTTAATGACCTACATGGAGGTGCTGATGCAGGACACGTTCGATGTAGGCAATGTTTTAATGACCTACATGGAGGTGCTGATGCAGGACACGTTCGATGTAGGCAATATATTGAAGGCCTACATCAGGTGTTGAGGTATGACACGTATTATCGTATTATGTAGATAATTTCGTAACGCTTCCTAGACTTTGAGGACAGTATCTCCTAGCGAAGCTGAAAATTTCACTGCAAACTTACTTCAATGTGTCAAGGCTCATAACTGCGTAACATAATTGCCGTGAGCTTTGTTGTTTCCTTTTAAGTTAATTATTACGACTTCTCATGTTAATCAAACTTTATGTATTTTTTATTTCCGTTCCATTTAGTAATGTTTTCGTGAATTTTTTAATTTAAAATAAAAGCGTTGTTTCAATTTCAAACAAAGCACTTAATGAACGATCGGTTCACATTTTACAAGCATTTAATTCGTGAAGCAACTAATTCAAGAATCTCGGTGCTTCTCTAGGCAGGCTGGACACGTATCAATTTTTCAGACGAGCGACAAAAGCCGTCACGCCTCCTCCGCGTCCTGATTGAGAATGACAGTCGGCGCATCGCTGGCCATTCATTAACCTCCTCTGATACTGGGATTCTTTTTTTCAGGGCTGAAGTGCCGTTTTTACCTTTTAGCAATTTTGCGACGGTATAAAATGGACATTTTACTGTCTCATAAACTCCTCTCTCATAAACCTCGCTCAGAAGGCAGACGAACTGAGTACTTTATCTGCCCCATCGATCATATTTCGATATTAAATCAGTGAAAATTAGACGTAATACGCTGCGCAGAATATAGGAAAGTCGACAGAAAATTTAGATGGATGTACAATATGAATCATGTTGGGGTTGTTCCACAAGAAAAGTTTCTCGTAGTTCTTGAAGGTATACGTATAGTTTCTTCAAGTTATCGGAGGCTAACCCAAAGTGTTTTTTTTTTGAGGGTATACGCAGAGATTCTCTGAATTTGTGAAGGTATACGAAAGTTTTACTTAGTTCTTGAAGGTTTACGCAAAATTTCTCTGGGTTCTTGAAGGCATACGGAAAGCTTTTGTTATTTTTTGATGATATACCGTAATTTTCTAGTATTTTTTGAGGGTATACTGAAAATTTCTCGTAGTTCTTGAAGGCATACGAAAATTTTCTCGTAGTTCCTGAAAATATAGGAAAAGTTTCTTTTAGTTCTAGCTTACTATTTCATCTGTACTTTCGTTCTTCTAGCACTTGCAGGAAAATCACGGAATGACAAGTTCAACCGTGACGAAGGTTTACGGCAAAATAGTCATTTTGGGTGAAACAACTTCCTGATTTTCTACTATGGGCCAAAAAAATTGATAGTGTATAATTGTGGTTTTTATAATACTTTTATTTAATTAGAACCCTTACAACGAAGCACCAAAACCAACGCGTAGACTGAAAAGTCGCAAGAAAAGGTTCTGATGTAAAAGAGTTATACATTGAGTCCTGAAGAATAAAACGGCGACGGTTCTGATATTAATAGATAAAAATATGAGAATACATTTCTTAACAATGAAGAAACTTTGTTAATTGAAAAATTGAAAATATATCCCACACCTGACATGATGAAAAATTTGGTCAATGTTCAGGCTAATCTATTGAGAATTTCCATGGACCTGAAATGTGGGACCCTTAGCTTTAATCAAATATCGTCTGAAGAGCGGGGGCGGGTTCTTGGGTCATTACAGGCAGCTTTGACGGTGTAATTTCCGGACGTCGTATAGCGTCAACAACAATGGCCCCAAAGTTTTGCTATTTTTCGAGCCATGTCGCTTTTGTTTTCTTGCTGCCCCGTTAACTTTATTTTTTACAGGCACAGCCAATTGTGGCGCTCGAGGTGAGCTAGCAGCTCCAGAGAATGCAAAAGCCGGACAAATAAACGCTTGTCTTGGACTGGGAAATTCAACCGAACGCCAAACCACGCTCGAAATTTTTTCTTTTATGTATGTTTACAGTGAAGAATTATTTCAATTTTTCCAATATCTACCACCTCCCACCATTGTTAAAAGTAAAGTTCTGTAATTCTTTAATTTTTATCTTAAAACAGTTAGCTGCCGTGAACTGGCGCGATTGTAATGCATTAATGTTATTGCAAATTAATATGTTTAATTAATTTATTTTCCCAATTTGAGGCCAGATCCCCGCATTTCTACTAAGCTTTTCCCAAAACCACATTTTCTCAATGTGATATCAATTTAAATGTTGGCAGTTACTGGGTAAGCTGCATGCAGGCTGAGTTGAAAGACAATATTGCTCAGGAAAATCTGCGGTGTCTGTGACCAGGTTTTAAGTATCGAGGCAAAAACCCGAATAGGTGTTCGCAAAATTTTTGAGTGATTTGAATCCTAATTGCAAATTCCTCAGATTAGCATTGATTTTCCCACTCATAAATTTTGTAGGCATCATCAAATTAATTTTTCAAACTGATAATCTGCCATCTGTATCTCTGAACTCCCGTTGTATCTCCAGACATGAGCGCAATTGTATCATAACTTGTTCGCGATGTGAATACGTCGCAAATTCACTCTTGTGGTGTCTATTCAATTGGTGCTTTGTAAGCACAAGAAACTGCATTCCGAGTGTCATTTGAGACTTAAAATGTATTTGAATTGTACTGAATGGAATAACGATTATTTCCAGTAATGTGTAGGATCTTGTACTCTTTTATGCAAGTTTGATTGAAGACCAGAGCAGGTTTACTGGTCTTGCCCCTGAGCTTAACTCAAACTTGCACAATAGAAAAGCTTCTGTTGAATTACACCGATGTTATACTATAGTACTCGTTTGGCATTTAAAAATTTCATCTTTCAAAAGGAAGCAAACTTATCGAATTATTTCAAATCGTTCTTAAATTATCTCAAGTTTAAGCTACAGAATCCTTGCTTTCGTATGCGCTTTACAAGCAACCTAGCAAGATTAAAAACATTTGAATCCTGACGTCTTCAACAAAGCTCTATAAAAGTCGAGACTTGAATTGTGGAGCCTCCAGGCATAAAGGAGGCATGTCGTAAAGATGTGTATTTAGGCCAGCGGAATTGTTGGTACTCAGTACGGCAGGGTCGTAAAGTCCTATACTTGAAGTCACGGCACGGACGTTGCTGTGATGAGACGTACATCTTGCATGTCTTTCTTTTGACCAAGAAAAAGAGGATGTTTGTGATGTTGCTTCAAGAGATTAGTGCACGAGTTGTGGCAAGTTTTGTGTTAGCCTTAAAGAGTACTCCATTTCTGGAGAGTGGTTTTTCATTTCGTGCCATATTTGTCAGGGATTGAAGGTATATAGGTCCTATATATTTCATTTAAAAACCTAATACTTGGATAGAAGATCTAGCGAAATTTAGATTGGATGCTTTATGTGGTCAGTTCACCCCATTCTTTGATTGAGCTATGCTTTTGTGGAGCCACTATGTGTATTAGTCTATTTAAGAGGTATTTTCTTGAAATTTTGAAACTCTGAATATAGCTTGTGCCAAATGTCATGATGTACATTGGTTTCTCTCGTGATGAAATAGAAATGCATATCCAACCGCAGTGTGCCTCAGACTTTTTTCTCTCGCTTCTAAGAACGCTTTATTCTTACTTGTTCGCCTCTTTTACATTCCTGCTAAAATCAAACCTTATTGATGCAATTTCAAATTCTTCTTCATCCAAATTTCAAACTTCCAGATTACGATGTAGATGCTTCAACCACGCAGCAATTATACCATTCTGAGCATAATTAATTAGTTTTCGGCAAGATACATAGGTTATTATACAATGTCCTTAATACATCTGTTATTAACCTTCGTATTTCTTCGTCAGTACAAGTAACTAGAGGTGTTCACAAAACTGAGCTCACCTTCAGACTGCCAGCGTCTAGGCTTGCCAAGTGATCGTCGCAGTTGCGCCTGAGTCGTGTTTCATGTCCAGCAGACTGTCCGAGATGTTGGCAGCTATGTTGTCTACCTATCAGTCATCTGAACTTGAAAGCATCACTGTTATAGTCTATGTCGTTGATTCGTTTAAGGCATAAATATTATATGGTTAGAACAAGCTCAAGTAATATTATGAAACAAATTGAACCTAATTTAGGGAGTTTATACATAGGTAGCTGTTGCAGATCCAACAATTTGTATCACAAATGTGCCACTAATCTTAAATATTCAGCACCATCATTTCATCACGTGAGTCATCCTTCAGGCTTCAGCGTTCACCGAGCAGTTTGAGGCTTCAATTGCAGTCTGTTATTTACATGATGTTTTCATAAACATTACTGCTGCATGTCTAATGGTTGGTTAGATTTTCCTTCTCATTAAATCCTCATGCTTAATGGCCTAACATGTTGTCAATAAAATTACTGCAAACTTATATTCTAAACGAATTGCTCTAATTCTTCAGCCACGCCTTAACGTCAAAAGTCGCACTTGACTAAAATAATCGATAATTAAAAAATTAAAACGAATAATAAAATGCAAGACCATCATTTCTACATCCTAAATATACTCAAATTACCGGAAAATATTATCAGCTTTAGAAATTCTATTTCAAACTCTTTATGTATCGTTATATTGTACATTATGACTGGTGCAAGGCGGATAAATATGCCCCATTAGACCTCGTTCATTTTGTATCATCAATCGATTCTAGGAACTCTTTTATAGCCTCGCAATGCATCGTACAAAACTGGAGGCCGGAGTTCGTTTTTTTAGCTGCAAGTCCTAATTTTTTTTCTCGGAAATTTCGCGAGCTGCTATAAGGAGATCCGGAGCTCTAATCCTGCGTTGCACTGAAGCGAATCTCAATGATCAAGCGCGGATTTTTCGTTGCAGGAAATACTTGATAAGCAGGCCATAGTGGCAGAGACCCTTCAAACACATCGTTATCAGTGATGAGATACAACCTCTTGCTAAATCAGGGGCACTCACGATGTAATGAAGTAGAAAAGGTGCGCGTTGATGACTAAGTGATGAGGGAGAAGCTTTGCCAAGCCTCGGAGTTTACACGCGTGAATGAGCCCGAGCTTCAGCTATCGATTCCTTTATTTTTTCATGTTAACATGAATAATTTATTGCGCTACCAATGCCGCATGCTACATTAGTTAGAAAATATAGTGAATATAATCGTGTCAATTATTTAAATATGTAGGAAGCGTGCAGAGATTTAGTTAACAGTGTTTGAGCGTTTTTGTTACGCGTCATGCTATTTTCCAAGTCAGGAATGTACAAAGCTTCCTGCTAGGAATGACTAAAACATTCCCAATAAAGCATTAATTAATGACGCGACGCTGCGTCATTAATGCATTGTCGCCATCACTGCTACCCTCACAGTTATTCAGTGCTTTATTTGAGACAGAGATACGCTCATGCAACGTAAAATTTTCATGCCGCAACCTTTGATAATTCCAATTGAAACCATGACTGGAATGTCAGTAGTGGCCATTACTGTAATGATGCATGAAGCGAATAGGTAATCCTGAATTTATATAATATGATAATACTGAACATAGATTTTGAACATAGAAGTTGAAAGTGGTCGAAATTCGACGAGTAATTAAAAGCAGAGTATGACTTGACCGCGAGACGTGGTAACAACGTGAAAATTATTTTGTTTTGATTTTATATTCGTCGAGGGCAACGCAAGAGCCACCCTACTCACGATGGCGAGAGAACCAGAAATCGGCAGACAGAGCCGATTTCTTGGTTCTCTTTAATACGCATTTGTCCCACACTCGGCAGCCTTGAATATTAACATGCACCGAAACTTCATAGCGAGGTTGAATGCGTCTGTACGAAACGAAGACTTCGTCTGGACTAAATTTGGCTCCAAGCGACGAGCCATCTTCTTCCATGAGCGATGTAAAGTCGAGAAATAGCGAAATGTATAGCGAAACTCAAAACTGTCGCTCTGAGCACGGCGTCTTCAGGTAGGCTTAGCGGTGCACTGCGACTGTCTATAGGAGGTTCCCTTAAAACTGTTGTTTTTCTGTTGCAGCCGCCACTCAAATACGGTCTGCAACTAGCTTAGCAGACAGAGGTGGCGGCCTCGGTCCGTGGGCCGAGAAATAACGGCCGCACGAAGCTCTGAATCGTTCATGCAAATGAGGCTCCTGTATCAGTACAGGCAAAACGTGCAAGTAATAGATAAAACAGCGTTATATTTATGCACGGTCAACAGCAACACTATTGATGCAACATAGACGTAAGACTACACGACAGACAACGAAACGTTTAGTAATTATAAAGCCAATAGTAAAATCATTTACGTATCAAGCACCGCACAACAATTACCATCGGCACGGTCGTCTTTTACGGTCACTGCCATCATTATCAACGGTACGGCAACGAGCTGGGAGTAACATCATCATTACAACGCGTTCAGTCCGACGTACGATGGTTATAAAATTGACTATCAGAGCGACCGTAATCCCTCTACTATCAGAGCGACCGTAAGCCTTCAAGAGTTGAGGCTACGGTTACGAAGACAGCGCGACTACGCAACAAGACGGCCGCGAGTACGCTTGACTACGGCGCGATACGGCGACTCAAAATAAAACGGCCGCGTGCATGAGTCGTACCATTGTACGGAATCGCTGCACGGATCTACGTTTCTGATCCAGTAGGTGGTTCGAAAAATGTGATGGGATAGGTGTTCAGCTCGGACTGATTTTTCCGTACAAGTTTTTTGATTAGCACTTTAATTCTAGTTTCACATTGAGTGTCCCCGTGTTTCATTGTAACTCTCTCCTGGTACTATTTCGCCATGGCCTATAAAAACAATAACTTTAAACGCTACGCATTTTCTTTTGAGGAAGGCTAGAGACGCCACGAACACTGAGCTACCAGACGAAATGGAATCAAAGTACAGAGCAATAATACGTGAAATAAAGAAAAGCGAGAAAACCATCAATCTCTATACTGTATTATAAACAATGCCACTTGTAGCCGTGTCTGTCATGATGGTATATACAATTAAACATTATTGGAAGTTTCGAGGTTCATCCAATCTTGGATAAGGAAATACGTCTCTTTGTTTCAATCAAGGTAATTATATAATTTTCTTTATTTCGAATTAATTCTAAATTAAAATGTAGACGAAACAATACGGCAGATAAACGGTATTCTATTTGATAATTCTCTTGGGTTATCCCCCCCACTAATTGTAACTCGACTCATTGTCATGTCATGAATGTTGGAGCTTCTTCAGGCAGCTTGGAGCGGCTGATTAGGCAGCTAGGAGCGACTGATCAGGCAGCTAGGAGCGGCTTGCGTTCCCCCCGAGGTGCTACCACGCCAGGCTCAGAGCCACTGCCGCCACCGCACCACACGCCCTCACTCGGCCAGGGCTCGAGCACGACTGGACCCTTGAATGTTCCGAAGCTGCGGTCCTGCCGAGCGCTCGGTCCATCAGTCTATCCTGCAAGATTTCACTTCAAAAACGAACAGACTTTTGATTGAATTTTAATTATTAGTCGAATGATATCATTCTGTAAGGGATATAAGCGTCTAAAAATTGTTTTCAAAATTTGTCTAGTTTTATTTACATGCCATTCCACGCGCTTAATTAACTTAGTTTAGAAGCCACAGAAATTAATTCCCTCGGATTCAATATGTTAGGGGAAATATGAAAAAAAAATTTATGAGCGAGAGGATGTATATTGGTTCATGTAAAGTTAATAATAGGAGTAAAGTGGCACTAGATATTCATATATAATACTGACGAATATATTTATGGACCTTTTAAGTATTTAAAGAACATCACTGAAATCACGGATCAACATCATCTTCGTAGACGTTTTTCAAAGTTACAATTTTTTTCGTTATTCATTCTAGGTTCACTGAAATCCTGGAAGTCGACGTTAAATTTTGTTCAAATCGTGACGCTGAAGTCGAAGTGACCTTCGCGATTATTATAAAAATGTGCCGCTTGCCGCTCGTCCTCTGCTAGTTTTTCTCTGGCGTTATTCAGTTGGCGAAGAAACGTCTGCAGACGCAGCTGTCTGTTTTTGTTTGTTACAAGGTTTTTAGCGCTAAAAATATTCAGATGTCGGCCGTATCAGTACTAGACGCCCCACCTGGAACCAATGAACGTGCTTTCAAGATGTTGATGAAATTGAAATACTTCACTACAATATGCGTAGATTTTATCACATTATACAATTATTAATACTCTTAAGAGTTTATTGTTCAGATGATGCATCACATGCTATGAGCAATATTATGCTCTAAGATCTGAGTGGGTGGAATCTCATATGCAATTGACAAATCCGTTCAAACATTATCACAGTATGTCATTAAGATCTACCCGATATAGTTCTTGGTTGCTCGTCCACATAGTCGAGCAACGGTTAAATTTCAGAGTACCAAGATTGGCGCAGTGAGGCGCGGGTTCGATCCCAGCTCTGTGCGCCAGTTTCTGGTCAGAATCGGCGAGGAGGCCGAGCGGTTGAGCAAAGCAAATTCGAAGTAGTGAGTTGCATGTTCGAGCCCGCAACAAGCTGTGGATGTTCTGCGATGTTAAGAATCGGCGACAGGCCTACGGCCTAATAAACGCTGATACCGCTATATCATATCATATCGTAACCTAAGACAACGTTAGGATAGCCTCCGTATTTCTCAGGAGTTCCACCGAGGTCATTTGATGTCATATCCATCACCAATTACCGCCCTCGTCCAGCAGAAAGATCCGCGTAGGCTGACTGCTGAGCTACACTGCAATTTGAAGAGAAAATGAAACGCGGAATTCTTACAAGGAATTTTCAGGGCTAGCGGCTCTTGGCCGGCAAACTTGATTAGCTCCTATCAAGTTCGCCGAACTTTGCTTCGAATTTCTCCAGCGGCCGATCAAGAACTCTGCGTTCCAAGTTCATCATGCATTAGCAATGAGGCTAATTTTTTATTTCAAATCCCAGCCGTGTCACGACTTTGACCGGGGAGATGGTTAAAATAACTTACCTTCAACATTCAAACCGAACCATTATTTCGGCGCTGCTAGCATCATTATGTGTACTGAGGTTGAACTCTGAGTCTTTTATCTGGTTCTGCTTTCTGAATGGAGGCAGGCATTAATTGTACTTTGATCACAATAATCGTGGAAAAT